TTTCTTCTGCATCGCCTCAGTCACTGGTCAAGAGCTGAGGTGTATTCCTAGAAATCAGAAAAAAATGAAGTTCTCTTCTTTGAATTGTCAAAAAATTCGAAATCAAAATTCTTTGTCTCTTCAAAGTTAGGACAGGATACGCCTTTCGAACGCTGTAGTAGGATTCTTGTACTTCGTTCAAGGGATATAGTTGTCTCAGCAAAATCATAAACTTCTCCTTGGCAGTGTTTTTTCTATTTCAAAATTTTTTGAGATAATTTAACTCATGAGCACGCCCGAAAATTATTTTTTTGTAGATTCTCTCCGGTTACTTTGATACCAACGTCGGACTCAAGGGAGATTCACAGTCATACAAGAAGATTTGTGAACAGATAGGAGCAGCTGCTTCCGAAGTTCTATTTCTTACTGATGTGGAAGCAGGTACGAACCGTTTTTGGACTTTTTTTGCTGTTTTTACCAACACCTTGTCCAGAAGCAAGAGCTGCTAGAAGCGCTGGGCTGCAAACGATGCTTGTCGTTCGAGAAGGAAACGCACCATTGTCAGAAAATGCAAAACAGGAGTTCAAAATAATTTATTCGTTGGAGGAACTGATACCCAAATGATTTCCTCCTCATCATTTCCTTCTGTTTCTGTCAAATCTTGACCTCCTCAAGAAATTTGCTAGCTCATGACTCACTTGCAACATTGTGTTCCACTAATTACGAGTTTTGGCATACCTCTGCTCCTTTGATAATCTTTTATGTCGGAAACAATAAACAGCACGACTCATAATTCAAATTTTAAATGTTTCATTGCATAGCAATCACATCACTCTGTTTGTTCATGGCAAATATCAGCAAATTCAGGTGCTCTCAGAGCAGATTTAATCATTTTCTTCAGAAGAGGATATCGTGGAACTATGGGGTACATCCGCGATGCGTCGTACTTGTCGTGAAGATCCTGCAATGAAGGCGTTATAAAACAAACAGTTTCTAATTTTATTATAGAATGAGGTACTATCCGCGAGGTTATATCCTTTAATACGACGAGATTGGCGGCTGGAAGGCTACCGCTCGCGCTGCGTCGCAATCTGCGTCTCCCTCGCGAGCGTTCTCTGATCACTCTCTAGCCTTAACTAGGTCCCCGCCTCCCAGCCGCCTATCTGGTTGAATCACAGGACAATCGTGCAGTTAATTGATGAGAGAAACTTGGACTGATCAGTGGCTAGCTGATGTTCGAGTACATGAATTTTTCTCGAACTGCAAAAGGGCAATGAACTCTCAGTTGGCGGAATAGGCTCTTACAATCACTGACATTGAAGACCATCTTAATTAGGCTCACTGCCCTGTGTCATTTCCCAGCAATTATTGCTAAAAATCTTTATAAAAAGATGACGTGGAGTGTACTCAAATATTTGCCATAAATCGCTATCCCAACGAGTTCTTTTTCTACAAGACGTCTGTAAATTCGTCGAGAGTTGCACTTACCTTGATGATCCTCCTCAGACCCTGGTATTTCCTTATCAATTTATATAACTGTACATACATGGTTTCGCAATCCTTTTGC